CCCCCCCCCCCCCCGATCCGCACCCCACCAAAGAGGCTCCCCATACATTGCCAGCAGGAAGCCCACAAGCTGATTGAAGAGATGCTGGAGCTTGATATAATCCGACCCTCCACCTTCCCTTGCGCATCGCCTGTGGTTTTGGTGAAGATGCACGATGGATCTATCCCCTATGTGGACTACCGCAGACTCAACGCCTTTACGCGCAGAGATTCTTTTCCACTTCCGCGGATAGACCAAACGTTGGATGCGTTAGGCGGCGCCAAATTCTTCAGCACCCTGGACCTCGCATCCGGATACTGGCAAGTCGAGGTACACACAACTGATCGCTGCAAAACGGCGTTCGTTCTCCCGTTGGAGCTATACGAATTCCAAACGATACCCTTCGGTCTAACCAACGCCTCTTCCAGATTTCAACGATTGATGCAAATCGCTCTCGAAGGACTTATCCCCCATTGTTGTTTGGCTTACATTGACGATATTATCGCACATGGTAAAACCGCGGAGGAACACAGAGCCAATCTCCGTCTTGCCTTCTAACGCCTCTGCGACGTTGGACTCAGGCTGAAACCCTCTAAGTACCACTTCGACAAGAGGTGTCGTTCCTTGGGCTTATTATTCTAGCCCAAGCCATTCGTTGTGACTCCGCAAAAGTTGACCAGATTCGCACGTGGCCCACTTCCATATCAGTCGAGGACGTGCGTTGTTTTCTGGGGCTTGCCTCGTACTATCATCGCTTTATCGCAGGCTTCGCACACCTCGCGTCATCACTCACAAATCTGCTTCGTCGGAACACCCTCTTTCAGTGGATTAAACGCGAGGCCCAGGCCTTTACCGACCTCCGCAACCGCCTGTGTGATACCCCTATCTTGGTATACCCTGACACTTCCGCGAATGCTGATATTTTATACTAAACACCGACGCGAGTGATCGCTCTATCGGCGCCGTCCTGTCGCATAGGGTTCCAGGTGGATCCTAACATGTCATTGTGTACGCCAGCAAGATTTTGACGCCGCCGGAACAAAATTACTGCACGACGCGGAAGGAAATGTTTGAAGTCGTTTAATTTCTCAAACACTTCCGTCCATACCTACTGGGTCAGGTCAGGTCAGGTCACAGGACTTGTGGTTGATGCCAATTTCAGTCCAGGTTCTTGCACCGTGAGCGTATTGTTCGCTTACGTATGCTTCAACAATAGGGGATCCTTTACGAGCCGCTTTGTGGGCCCTTTGTTGCCGACTTGGGCAACTTTCCGGATCAGTTGTTACTTCCGCAGCTGATATAGTTTATTGCTGTACCTGTAGAAAAAGAAAGAATAAGGAGTGCCTATAGTCTAGCTGAGCGGTTAGTGGGGTCGACAGTTCCTCCTCCGAACAGACTACAAATTCCTCTTATGGATTCAGAATTTTCGTGACCCTCAAGGACAAATCGCCCGGTGGCAAGAAATTATCCAAGAGTACGATTTTGTAAGCGAACACCGACCCGGCAACAAACATGGTAATGCAAATGTCTTATCTCGTGGACCTCTCCACGCTCACGGTGATTGCCTCACCTGCACCACAACTGCAATCACCATACCCCTCCACCAACCCGAGATCGGGGAATGGAAAGCTCTCCAGGACACTGACTCGGAACTACAACCCATCTACCGACCTCTATCTCTGCAATTACCACGCCCATCTAACCACGATATGCAGAGTGCCAGCTATTTCACCAAATGTTTACGAGCCCTTTAGCCACAGCTTCGAATTGTCGACGGTGTCCTTTACTATCAAGACGGCCCAGACTACATGCGGCGAATCGTGGTTCCTCCAGCAGCCAAGGATGCTGTACTAACTCGCCTACACGAGGAACTCGGTCATGCCGGGCAACACAAACTGGAGGAGGCTTCCTGCCGACGTTTCTGGTGGACACATGCGGCGCGACATACGTCTATACTGCGAGTCTTGCACTTTATGTAATCAACTCAAGAACTCAGCGCCTGTCCCTCGTGAACCCCTCCAACACCTCAATGCGTATTTCCTCAACGAGATTTTGTCTGTCGATATCATGGGCCCATTGCCGTTGACAAAAAGTAGCAACCGTGACATCCTAGTAATGGTCGACTATTTCACGAAATGGTGCGAGGCGGTACCACTGCACATAACGGACGCCTGGACGGTGGCAAAAACGATTTTCATTGAATGGTTGGCTAGATGGGGTATCCCCTACCAACTACATTCTGACCAATGCTCCAACTTTGAT